TGTATATTTATGATATTCCTAACTCTTTAGACCTAATTCCCATCAAATTTTCTTAAATATGTTTACTTATGTTTTGATTATATTTTAATTAATTAAATTAAATTTTTGATCTCCTTGCATATTTTATTATAGTAAAAAAAGATTTTTAAATAAGGAAAAATTAATTTTCTAGATTTATTTAATTCAAACAAAAATATTTTTTGGTTTTCTAAAATTTTTGTTATTTATCTAAAATCCTTTTTGGGGTGAGGGGGCCCATTTGGGCTTTGAGCCTACCACATTTGAGCCCATTAGGTGGCGGCATGGGGCCCACATAGCTCACTATTTGTGGGACACCTCGCATATTCCATTCTTTCTTTTTAGTGTGTGGCTTGTTATGGAAGCCATAAACTTGTTTTGAAAATAAAAGGAAGGTTTTATGGAATAAGGTTGATTGATTTAAAATAGCAAGGTGTAGAGATTGATTGAAATTAGATTTGTAAATATATAGTATTTTCTCTACACAAATATTTGATGGGAATGGAGTTATGGAAACTGAGGGATAATAGTTCTAGCTCATTCCTTTAATCATGATGGCTGATTTAAGAAATGAAGAGCTAAAATCTCTTCACCCCATAGGTCTTCAAGATGTACGGTCAAGATTAAGTCTCATAATGATAGCAAAACTTTATGCCTCAAAACTCTAGCCTCCTATCTATAAATATTCTCTATGAGGGTGCATTCTCTACACTTGTGAAATTGGATTGGCATCTCTCTCTCTCCCCTATTGGCAGGTATGCCCATCTCTCTCTCTCTTATTTCTCTCTTTTACTTAGGGTTTTCAGTTGCTTTGAGCTTAGAGTAAACCCTAAGGGGCATGCCCAAGCCACTAGAGGGTGGCACCCCTAGACTAGATGCTACTTGTGTTATTGTCTTTGGCCATGAGATTGCTTTCATCCCATGTCGTGCTCTTAAAAGGTTTTGCCTAGGATTTCTGATTTATGAGACAATATTAGGACCAAGATCCCCTGTGTGCCTTGGTGGAAGAGACCCGGTATGGGGTGTACGAAGCTCTTGGGGGGAATCTAAGGCATGGTACTTGGTATTTTAATTGTTCCATGTTTCTTGATTCTTCATGCATTGTATTTTTGTATGGTTATATAGAATTGTAATGGTATGCAATAGAAGATCCTAGATTGTATTAGGCTGTATATTTTATGAATAAAGTTGTACTTTTGGACACCAGTAAATGTTCTAGCCGGTATGAATAAAAAAAAGACAAGAAATTTTTTTAACTTTACACACTTGGCTAGATCACATTGTCCATCTTTCACCTTGGAATTTGAATCATCAACTAATTGTAACACGAGAATGATATTTTTCTTTATATGCGAGCAAGAAAAGTGTTGGAAAGAACTAAAGGTTTGCAAGGAGACACTGATGTATTTCATACATGTGAGATGGGGGTGAATACTTCTCTCTCCCTGTAACTTTCCCGTAATATGGAATTAAATTCGAAAGCTTACCAACATCACTAGAAACATGATCTGCTGCCCCTGAGTCGTTAATTCATGCATCTCATTTTCTGTCTAATCTTCAAATTTGAAAGAATTGCAAAGCAAGAGAGATTTGTTCAGTTAACCCTAATTTCATATCTGCTCCTTGTCAAATCTGATTATTTTTCTCCACTTCCTTCTCTTAATCTTCCTTCTATCCTGTCCCACAAACCGTAATCCCATCCCTTTTCACCTTCTCAAAACTAATTCCATCCCTTCTCCCCTTCCTCTCATATCTTAATATTCCTTTGATCTTTTCGATAAACAAGTCACTCTACCTCTTAATTTTCTGATTTTGTTCCCCTTCTTAGTCTACTTTGGTCCTCTGCCTTAAATTCTCCCTTCCAAATCCTTTTATCCTTTGTCTTTTTTCCCCTATTTTCTCGATTTTTCTTTATTACGAAAAAAAAGTCAAACAGCTCTCCAAAATCGATCTTGAAAAAGGAAATCTTTCAAATCAATTACTCCATAGAGAGAGAGGGAGAGACTCTTTTTTTTGCTTTTTGTTTTTTTTTTTTGGGGTGGGGGAGGGAGGGGCGAAGAAGTTGAAAATCAAAATAAAAAACTTTCAGGAAATCCGTCCCCATGTGATGGCTTTTCCTTCAATTCTTTATTTCTTCCCTAAGTTGTTTTTAGAAAACTAACCTCAACGAATTTAGATACATGGAAGCGTCAAATCTTGCGTTCTATTCTTAGTCTTGATCTTATGATTTGTTTGGACGGACTTAATCCAATGCTGATAAAATATATCCAAAATGAAGGGAAAGACAATAATGGGGTTTGCAAGATGATTTCAATTCAAAATCCTGCATATGGTGTTGGATGTAGCAAGATCAAGAACTGTTTGTGTATATTACACCCATGTGTTCTCAAGAAGTGCTACTTGGGATTACAGATGGCTGTACCACAATAGAATTGTAGAATCCTCTAGCTAAGACTTATTTTCAAGTTTCAAAAGCAATGTCTAAGAAGCCAAAATGGTCCAAAACCTGGAAAATATTGTCCCCTATCATGGAGTGTTTGAACAAAATGACAATCATCTTGATCAACTTGCAGCTATTGAACAGTCCGTATTTGAGAAAGACAAGGTACAACAAACTCTTGCTCGCCTATGCCCTGAGTACCATTTGTTTATTGCCTCATTGTCTTTTCAGCCACAAATGATATCCTTGAAAGGACTACACCCTCTCTTGCTGCAATACGAGGCAATGTTTGTTGCACTGAGATGGATCTCGAGATTCACATGATGTTTCGAAAGTCACGTTCTCCCCTTTTCGTGGTCGTGGGAGAGGAAGAAACTTTAGAGGAGGTAGAGGATATGGTCAAAGTAATAACCTTGGAGGATGAGGTATTTTACTTTCTCCCGTTGCATTGTCATCAACTCAGCCTGCAAAGAATTCCAGCATCACATGTTAGTTATGTGTAAACGGTGGAGATAGTGCTGCCAACTGTTTATGGTCAAAGTAATGACCTTGGAGGATGAGGTATTTTACTTTCTCCCGTTGCATTGTCATCAACTCAGCCTGCAAAGAATTCCAGTATCACATGTTAGTTATGTGTAAACGGTGGAGATAGTGCTGCCAACTGTTTGTTCAGATTGGATTCCAACTCTGATGTTGGAAATTTAGGACAATGTGCTGTGGGAATCTTGGACCACATCAAAGGTCCAGTAATGTGATAATGTGACTAAAGTTTCCATTCAGCATGAAGCCCATATCCGTATAAGAAATGATGTTCGCAGAGAGAGAGAGAGAGAGAGAGAGAGAGAGAGAGAGCATATTACATTAATACCCCTTACAATGGTGCTGCAAATCATTAGACCCTCCTGATGATGAGTGGAGTGACCTAATCATTTCATCTTGTGGGTGTGTGCAGGTCTGTGCATGTGTGTGTGTTACAAGTAAGGTGTAAACTATAATACAGTATACCCCTTACAAATATTATATACAACATCAAACACTCCTTTACGAATCTTGATTTACAACACTACCCCTGCACTCCTCTGCATGCCGTTGCCCAACATGAGACACTGACTTGTATGTGATTTAAAAACAGAAAAATATAATTGCTGAACTAGTTGCTTAACTAATTGGATCTTTACCTAATTTAGCATTATGATTATGGCACCCATACATATATTGCAATTTTTAATCCCATCAATATTTCTTGGTCTTCTGATTAGTACAAGACACCTTAGTAGGTTGGGTAAAAGTAGAAATTTGTAGTAGAATAATCAATTATTTAATGAGCAGAATTGTATAGGTGAGATGTAGTGCATAATGCAAGACATATTAATAGGCTACCCTACTTCAACAGACACAAATATTTCTGAATATAATTGTACCTGCTGTGTGGATTTCTAGATACAACTGGTCCTACTAAAAATGATTGAAATGTTCCCCTATCTTCCTCAACTTGATGTCTTTACCCCAGTGTGGATTCCTTGCTTGGCACTGTCCAGGGATTCATATGAATGGAACAATGGACGTTGATCTGAATCTACTATAGGAACCGTTTCCTGTACAATGGCAGATTCACTGCTTCTGTCATAAAATTTGCTGATATCATTTGTGAGAAAGCTATTACTTGTGTGAGAAAGTTGGCAAGGAGGGCTGGGGGGTTGATTTACAAATGAAAAAAGATGACAAATAAATGGGGAAGGGAGGAATGTAAGAAAAAAAGGGAAGGGAAAATATGACGTAATATATGTTTTTAAATTAAATTCCATACTCATTTTGAAATGGTGTATATAACCAGGGCAAGACTCGTTTGACTCTGTCCAAGTTGGGATGATAACCTGTCAAAGGGTTAAACCTAACCCTAGAACCTAGTTGAGTCAACTTGAGTGAGTCTCAGCATGACCTGTTGGCTTTTTATTATAGCCATTTTCTTGTTTGCTCTCTTTTTCTGTGTAAGTTTTCACATGGGCTTTTCTCAGATAAATTCCTTTGGCGCTTACCCCATAAGGTCTTCAGAAACTCATACAAATGCATATATGTGCTTCTTTATGCACTCTATACCTTAAGATGTTAAACAATGTGACCTGCTTGCACTTATTCATGTTTTTTTGGTTTCAAATTTTTTCTATACTCCCATAATCAGTTATGTGACCTGTCTTGGGGGCATTTCATTTAAGCTTAATTTTGTGGCTTTCATGTGATTCTCCGAATACTTGCATTTTCTACGTCATCATTTTCAGTCTTCGAGAATTCAGTTTTTGGCTCAAAAAATGTTGATTTGACTTAAATGTTCAGCATGAATGAACTTAATGTCATGTGTTTGGTGGGTGGTCTCTCTTTTGCCCAAATTTCTCTCTCACAACCTTGAAATTTACTAATGATTGTTCTTACCTTGTATTTATTTAGATGTCCTCTGTAATTTACAGAAATTGGCTTTGATGTATTTTTGGAACTTAAACTAATTACAATCAAAATTTGTGATATTTTTCCATGATCAATTCTTCAGGTAAATTCAAATGAATGGTATTTGGATACATCTGTCGGGGCAGCTGGACAGTCAAAGATTCTGCATTTTGTGGTGTACATTCTTTATACCTTGCTTAGCTATTTCTCTCTTTGTTTATGTGGTTGATATATATGCATTCATGATAAATGTGATTGTAATTTACCATGCACTCTGTTCATAAATTCTTCTTTTTCTTTTGATTAGTTAGCAATAATTTAAAGGATCCATTGAGTTGTACCCTAAAGTTACACATAGACCAAAACCCATGAAGTAAAATAAAGTATCAAAAAGTGGGCTAGAGAAATAGAGACTAGAGGGAAAAGAACAAAGAAAACCATCAGTTCTCTGTGTCCTAGCCTCCTTTCCTAGCCTTTCCACGAGCACAATAGCCCTCTATAACCATGGTGGAATGAACATCAAATAGATATTCTCAAATGGTTGGCCTCTACCACTAGTTCCACTGGGATGCACTTGTAGATGGACCCTATCGAGGCTGAGGTACGGCATTTGGTTGTTGCATTTAACTGCATTTAACTTACATTAAAATGACATGGACATGAGTGTTTTCATCTGACATGGACACGTGTCTGACATGGTTCCGTGAAAAATACCATGCCATACACAAAATATTAATGTCTATAAATGGGATTATATTTTTTTATATAAATATGTGTTCAATAATTTAATGAAAACTTAGAGAAACAATTCCAAATTAGGATGCATGTCCAAATTTCAGACACAAGTATCTGATATTTCAAAAAAAAAGAAAAAAAAGATATGCACATCCAAAACTTTGAACATGTGTTAATGGTCAACATATTGTGTCCTATATGTCCGGCAGCAAAGTTCAAGACAAGCTAGGTGACGAATTCTAAACATGTCTGGCAAACATTTGTAAATTTTGACACATGTCATTGTTGGATATGCTGGAATTTGCTGGATTTGATAGCACCAGGTGGTGGAGGTGAAAAAAGTGGTTGTTGTGGAGGTCAAAATGATTCATGGTCCTGGTCTAGTCAGTGATGGAGTTATTTGCTGTAGCTCCACAAATGTAGGGCATGCATGCACCTGATAGATAACAGAGTGATCGTGACCATTTTTGAAACCTATATACTAGGAACAGTTCTCATTATCTTCTAAAACCTCTCCCATGAAGCCCGTTTAAGACTGTACAAGACCTACTTAAGTTTACGAATTAGACATGAAATTGTTGATCGATCCACAGGGGAATGCTTCATGTACATTTCTCTGTATAAAGTTCTATTGAGAAATATAATTTTCATGTCGACCTGTGACATATCTCTTAACTCAAATAATAGGTAGTAACATTCACATACAGCAAAAGTCTCATGAAAAAATCCCCGGAGTACTCTCCCCATAAATTTGATCTAAGAAATTTAATTTCTTTGTTGAAAGGAATTCTACTATGTGATGAAAACTATGACAAACTGAAAGTACTTAGATTTGTGTTTTGAAGCAAACAATTTAACAAATTCAGTGAAATTATCAATAAGGGACATAGCGTGTAGAACCACCAGATGAACGAAACAATTTTGATCCAAACATAAAATTGAATCAAATCAAAATGGGCTACACTTATCAAGACTCCTAAGAGAAAGGGAGTATCGAATTGCCAGTCTCAGAAGGCGTAACTTTGTTGATATCCTTATTGATACCATCTTCTTGTAGCTTTCGTATGTCTCACTTCGTCGAAGAAATTAGGCCGAATGCCTTCCATCAAGAGTATGTCAACCTACCATTAGTACAACAATGAGTTTGCAAGAAAGCATTACTTCTACTAAAAGAGGATCCATAACTTCCATTCAAGCAGTTTATGTGCTTGTCGATCATTATTTATGGGAAAAAGGCAGTACTCTATGTGAAGCTAGAAAACTAGATATCGAAGCTAGAAAACCTGCCAATATGATGATGGCCCTTGACAAGGTGCATGATATGAAAAGGTGCATGATATATTAGCTGCGGACACAGTAGCTTTCTTGAGGTAATTTTGAAGGTGGGCAATATGGGGGGATCTATGCTCCAGCTTGATTGGGGGTTTTGAGTGATTAATGTGTTTGAATGTCATTTTTAGTTCTTAGAGTTTTTTAAGTTTCTGGATAACACAATGGTTAAAATATGAATGAACTCGCTACAGCCCTCAATGCCCAAAAACCAAGCTAAGTGCATGGATCCCCATTTTAGTGGTTATTTAGTCTTGGAGTTCTCATATCAAATACTCTTATAAGCATAATCTTGTCCAATTCTTATTAATCACCATGTAATGTAAATAGGATTTGGAGGCTATAATTTTCCTCTCATTTCTAACTCGATATCGCACATTTAGTTAGGGATGCTAATACAACTGGTTATCATCATCATCATAGCCTTTTTCTAACTAATTGGGGTCGGCTATACAAATCATGGTCCGCCGTTCTGCTCTAAGGGCCATATCCTCAGTGAGGCTATAAGTTTCCATATCTCTTCTCACTACTTCCAACCATGTCCTTTTAGGCCAACCCGTTGCCTTTTTTGAGCCTTCTACTTGAACTAACTCGCACCTCCTAACTGGTGTTGTACTGGGTCTGCGCTGCACATGGCCAGTTCACCTAAGTCTACTTTGTTTCATCTTATCTCCTATTGGTGCCATACCTAAATTCTCCCAAATGAATTCATTTCGAATTCTGTCCCTTTTTGTCTTGCCACTCATCCATTTCAACATCCTCACCTCAGCTACACTCATTCTATGGGTATGTTGTTTCTTGAGTGCCTCACACTCCGCCCCATAAAGCAATGCTGGTCTCATAGCTGTCCTATAGAACTGACCCTTCAGCTTCATTAATATGTGGTGATCACATAAAACTTTGGTTGGACATGCCCTCCCAATTCTAATTCTATGTGAGTACAACTAGTACCGTGGAAAAATTCTTGTTCAAACTTGAGATGGTATGAAGTTTTTGCATTTGTTCACCTTCGTGCTCTCCTTTGTTTCAATTGTATAAAATTTGATTTGTTGATAAGCTAATACTAAAATAACAATTAAAAATAAATAAGAAGTCACTCTTGTGCATATTGTTGTGTTTAAAGAAAAGGCTGTCAATATAAAGAAAACATCCTCCAACATTCTTTTTGGAAGCATGTTAGGAGCCAGAGGATCGAGGGTGAAGATGATGGCCACTCACGTATACGCAAACGGCATTCAATAGTTTATAGATATCTCTGCCAAGTTGACAATTTTTTTCTTCCGTCTTGTGTGGGATGCAGGTAGAAGAATGATAACCTACATTATGAAATTGGTCTCTGTCTTTACCTGTTTAAGTCTTTAAGAACCAGTGGCATATTTTGGAAAGTGATAGTACTTGGTCCATATGCCTTATTCTGTTCATTTTGTGATGCAAGGTAAACTTCGAAGTTGATTGGGTTAGATATTTGTTTCTCTTTATTGTCAAGCCTTCCGGATGACAAATGGACAACAAAACCGTTCTGATTGATGTCTTGAAATTACAAAGTTATGATTTGTAATTAGCATTGTGGAATTAATGAACTTGTGGTCCATACATTCTATTGATTTGAGTGGCTGAACTTTGATTCTGAATCTTCCCTTTACAACAATCACTGTTCTTTGAATTATGTTTTTTTATCTGTAGGTATGTACCATCTGCAGATGAGTGCCCCTTAGTGTTACAACTTCCAGATGGAACCATTTCCTCAACTAATGGATTTATGTCACCTGTGAGTAATTCTTCTAGGAGTTCTTTGAATAACGATGTTGTCTTTTTGGATATCGCTTTTATGATTAGTTTTTTAAACCTAATGTAGACGTGGGGCGGAATCATTGTTTGGAACCCCACCAGCTGTTCAACAGATTCCAGAAGTGCAAGACTTTCAAGGCACACATTTTCTTCTCAGGTCAGATAACATTTATAATGGATAACACGATTGCATGTTTGTTTGAGCATTAGCCTGTTAGAGACTGTATCACTTCAACTTACATTGCACATGATTTTGTTATTTCAATTTTGGTGTGAATGGGCTCGTCTCCGAAGTTTGATCGCAATTGTATTAGATATTTAGACTAGTCAGTCTCATCTAATCTCATAGTTTTTATCTTAATAATGTAGATACCATATTATTGATATTTTCAGTAAATCATATCTAAGGTCGATACACTTGTATATGTATTATTATTCTCATAATGTTTTAGATGTAGCTCATTGTTTAATGTTCCACTAGATAGTTAACATAAAAAATGTCTGAGCAATATTAAGAATAGGATATAAAGTTTCATGGCTATGGTCAGCGTTTTAAAAACTGGACTGGCCTACCAAACCAATCACCAGCTGAACCGATCTGTGGTCTTGAGGTCCCGCAACTTTCTATCCTGGGGGAGATACATAACAACCACTTCTTAGAAAAGCAATTACTTCCTATTGGCTAGCACATACTGGGATTGAGTGGCTTTTGTCCAACCCACAATTGTGTATGATTTTTTTTTTTTTGATAACTGTTAACAAATGATGAAATTACTATTCTATTCTTGTACAAAAAAATATTCTTGAATATATGTGTCATATTTGGCAGGGAAAGATTGTTCATGGGTAAAATGTAGTTCATTACATTCACTGTTAAATATTAAAAACCTTGGAAAGTTGTGTAAAGGAGTTGGTCATATCAATGTAAGTATTATTGTTCCTTCATCCCATGTGGCAACAGTTCACTAATTTTGAATCAAAATGATTAAAATTTGTAGAGGCATATTTAATCATTAGTGGACCCTTCTTCCATGTGGCTAAAAAAGGCATGCCAATGAAAAGTGCCAAATGTGTTTCATTGTTGGGGGTTCAAAATTTGAAAGATCTTTTTGTGAGTTGTTTTTTGAATTTATTGATGTGAACCAGAATATAAATTTTATATTTGTGTTCTGTGATTTTTTTATGGATTTTTTTTTGTTGTTGTAATTTTTTATATATATTTATTATTTGGGCACTTCCATACTACAAAGCTTCTGGTAATGGATGATCTGTAGCTTTGGCTCCTGCTCCACCTCTGCCTATGCTTCCAACTGTTGTAAATAATTAAGTTTTTATCTCTGTCTCTTCTATTTAAATCCCTGAGGACATTTTTGTTATTTCGCTGGACATTTTTGTTATTTCGCTTAAGGGATATTTTTGTAACTTCAGATTTTCACTGGTAATAAAATGCATATAAGTGGGGGGTGGGTGCCCAATAGACATCACCGTAACTCTCTTCTTCCCCTCTTTCTCACGTGACTCTCTCTATCTATCTCATCTCTCTCTCCAACTTTCTCTCTCTTCCTAGATCTTGATCTTCCTTACACTTTTTTATTTCCAATCTACTAGATTGCTGTATTTTAAATTTGTAAAAATCAGGTATGGACAAAATATCCCTTGGATTTGTAAAAATCCGAGGTATGGACAAAAAATACCTTAGTACCACATATTCTTTTTTAGGTGAATTTTCCTTGTGACGTGTGATTCGAAAAAACAGATTTGTAAATTGATGGTGGCTGAAACCCAAGATTTGGTTTGTGTAGTTCGAACAAAACACAGATCTAAAAAGTTGAAGCAGTGCGTCACCCTAATTTTCATGGACCACAGATCTGAAAAATTAAAATGGTGCGTGAAACCCTAGTTTTAATGGATACTCCCTATCCAAATTGAAGACTTAGATATGATTTTGTGTGGTGCGTCAAACCCTAATTTTTATGGATATTCCCTATTTGGGTTGAGTATGTGATGTTGAACAGAAAATTCTTAAACTGGTTGGTATTATTTGTGTGTCAAAAGTAGTTGTTGGACCCTTTTAATATGTCTTACCTCTGTCATGAGTTGCAAGACTCATATTCTATTGAGATCTCTTATATGGGATGGTCTCAGATCTTTGGGTGGAGTGAAATCGAGTAGCTTTTAGTGGCAATCAATGAGTTTTTCTTTTTGGTTGTTTCTGACAATCAGTGATATTTTTATTTGGTTGTTTGTGGTAATCAGGGAGGGTTTTTTGGGCGTGTTTTGGCTGATAGTGGCTGATATGTCAAATATCAATGATTCAGAGCACTCTTTTACCACGATCAATACACATGGTGTAAACTCTCACATGGGTATCAATGGAGGAAACCCAGTGCCAAGCCCATCTCTTTGTTTTGGTTTTGGCTGAGTTGACTAGGCATCTACAAGCAATGATTCAAAAAGCGGACCGCCCAGTGCCTAGGCGGTCCGAAAGGCCTGAGCGCATCGCCCAAGCCATTGCAGCCAATCTGGGCGGTCGATCCTTGGACGGCTGCCTAGGCGGTATGGAACGCACCTAGGCGGGGGCCCAAGGCCTGTGCCCCGCCCAGGGGTGGATATTGATTTCGGTAGGGGCAATTTTGATCTTTTTTTTTTGTTTTTAAGTCAAAAAATTAGGGTTTTAGATTCATTTGAACCCTAAAACTTGTTGGAGTCAATTTTAGAGAGAGAGAGCCCCCAAAAATCTAGTTTTTGGTGAATTATTTAGGATCGAAGGGTTTTTCAAAGTTAACAAAAATTGATCAAAACATCACCCATTGATATTAGATTTACTTTTTGATGTTTTGCAAAGTTATTAGGGGTTTTTTTAGAAGATTTTGAGTATTTAGAAGCATCTTTGAGGTGGAAGTTTGAAGATTGAGCAATCAAACTCATAGTAAGTGATTTTTTTTTATTGCTTTAGTAATTTACATTATTTTTGAGATGTCTTCTTCGGGATCTAATAGGAGTGGTGATCCCGGTTGGAAATATGACTATAACCCAGATCCTAAAGATAAAAATTGCATAAGATGCAAGTTTTGTGAAAAAGATACAAAAAGGGGATAAACCAGTTCAAGAAACATCTTGCCGGTATCAAGGGGGATGTTGCCCCATGTAAAAAGACTCTTGATGCTGTTAAAGAGGAAATAAACAATTTTTTGAACATGGTGAAAATGAAAAAAGATGAGAGATTTGCCTTTATAGCAGAGATTAGGTCTGGGGTTCGGGTCAATTTTGATGATGATGATAGTGATGAGGAAGGGGAGGGATGTCAAGAGGTTGAGCAAGCCATTATTAAGGGAAAGGGGAAGGGAGTTGTAATTGCTTCTGGTTCTGAGATTAAAAAGCCTTGGGTTAGAGGCCCTATGGATAGTTTTTTACCTAAGCCTGACCCTGAGTTTGCAGGAGAGAAAACAAACAAACAAACCATCATTGAAAATAAAATCAAGAAGGAAGAGAGAGATAGATTATCTTGCTACATGGTTTTATGATACGGGCATTCCTTTCAATACCGCTCGCTTAAGCAGCTTCTATGCTGCGATAGAGGCAGTTGGCCAATTTGGCCCTGGGATGAAACCCCCAACCCCATATGAGCTTTCAGAGTATTTTTTAAAAGAGGCAGTGAGTGCCACGAAGGAAGCTGTAGAACTTAATAAGGATGCATGGGCTCAGTATGAGGTTTCTATTATGACTGATGCTTGAAGTGATAGGAACAGAAGAAGTCAAATGAATTTTCTTGTAAATTGTCCTGCTGAGACTGTCTTTTTGAGGTCTATTGATGCATCTGATCATATCCATGATACCCATTACGTATTTCAAGTGACAGAGAAGGAAAGTCAAGGAGGTTGGGGGCAGTCTGTTAGTACGTAGGTTGTACAC